GAAAGATGCAGTTTGGAGTGATTTGATAATGAATTGGAGGTGTAAGGGAGCTTATCATCTATTTTTTTTAAACTCCCTAGGTTCATGATTTCTCATTCATCAGCGGAGTTTTCTTTAGCTTCCCAAACTATGTTCTTTTGAAGAAAATTCTTTTTCTCTCTTTTTTTGTTTTTTTTTTGCTTCAATTTCCTTTTTTGCGTGCCTCCTTTTCGAAATTTCAAATAATCTCCTATTTGAGTTTAGGAATGACATCTTTTTAAATTGGAAGAAGTCTGAGAAGATGTAGACTTTGCCTTCTATTGAAAGGATGACGAGAGTCCAAAGTCTAGTAGGCCTCCTTAGTATAAGGACACACGATTCTTGTACTTTAGAATGTTCTCCTTTCTCAAAAATCTTTACATAGTATGTGCCTTCCATTTTCTAATGAAAATATATGCTAAACTAAAAGATGCATGATATTTGTTTTTTGCCTAAATTTTATCATTTTTTTACTAAGGTTATGATGCATGATTTTTGCTATGTAATTATTTGTTTTTGTTATTTTTTTTTTAAATAAACTATCCTATATGATGCTTTGAGGTTTAGGTATATAGAAAGGAGTTAAATTTTTGATCATATTTATTTTATTAATATCTATTTTTTTGTAATTCTTATCCATTTGAAATAAATAAACACAAACAAATACAACACACATATGCTCAAACAAATGTACACCCGCGAACAACCACGTTTAAATCCTTAATCTGTGGTCCTTGCAAGTTGCAAGAAAAGTGCATTGTATAGGACAGCTCTTATTATCTCACTGGTCTTAAGGCCCCCAAGGTGCCCCCATTATAGGAACCCAGTATCTTTGTCACCGTCACCTGGCAAACTCTAAGGTCTGTCGCAGTATTTCGGGCTAGAGTAACCAGTTATCACCTTGAGTGTGATTTCTGACAAGGCTCGCAGGCTCCAAGGCCAAACTTAGGTCGGTCGTACGTCAACCACTCTCTATGTTTATTACCCTCATGCCCCCGGGTGTAGGGGGAACTGTTGTGTGCAAAGGTTTGTGTACAATTTTATTTCAAACAGGTACAGAATTTAAATAAGCAAACAGATATCAAAGCCAAACAAACAAAACAAACAATGTAAAGAGGAAAAATATTTAAATTATTATTCTTATTTTATTAACTTCATCATTTATTTGGGTCTGACCCTCTTAAAACCTCCCCAGTAGAGTCGCCATCTGTCGCAACCCGAAAATTATTCGATCTCGCGACCTATGATTTAGAATTTATCTTGTTTCAGTAATATATTTACAATATATTTAACAATTATATATCCAGTTTTATTAACAGACTTTCTTAATAGTATGTTACTTTAAATTTGCAGACACTAATATTATGAATTTTAATTCATACTTTTTTATTAAAAAAAATATCACAATTAATAGTCAGAGAATATTTTTAAAAACATAAATATTATCAAATTAAATCATTTTTACCTATTTCCAACAATTATTTTATAACAACTAGATAATTAAATTTCTGTAATTGTCCTTAAGAAATTTAAGTATTAAACAATTGAGTTGAACTTTGTTAATAAATTTTAATACTTACTATTGAAGAAGTATTTTTAAGTTTTTTTTTTTGGTTAAGCTATATAATTTCCTTTATATTTAATATTTTTATTCATTTTTTAAGATCTTAATATATTATAACAAATTTAAGATATATGTTCTTTTTTTAGACAAGTCAAATTATAATATTACTAATTACAATCAAATTAAGCTTATTTTGAATTTTATACCATATGAATCAATGGGGTTATATGATATATCTCAAAGCAACTAATTTATTCTTATAATTTCACCCTTAATTTTAATTTTTAATCAAATAAAATTAAAATTTTGTTGAGTCTATGCTAAGTCTTTAGTCAATATGAAGTAAAGCATGAGGTTGAAGGCTATCACCCTTAACTAATTACTGTAAAAGTCGTATGGTTCTTTGAGGATAGTTAATGAACTAACTTTAGAAGTGACTTAGTAATGCATGTCAAAGTTGTAGTACACACCTATACCTATTTATGCTAGTCCTGACGACGGAATCGAGTTTTCCAAGTGTAAGTGACAACATCTGAGAAATTAGAGGAAGGATTAATATCCCATTTTAGCTGTGGATCCAGTAGGCACATATGACGTGAAAGTGATTAGGGTTGATTCAGCAAAATCAAGTCACTTAGACAACTCAAATGTATTAGGAAATCTTTATAGGTGAATGCATGATGATGCATTAGTTAAGGTGTATCCATATGATGTGTTGTTGATTGGTGTACTCATATGCATTGAATGAATATTCTATTGTATAATACTACTTAGCGTGAGTTTGACCGCATAATATGAAGCTTTCAAACAGGTTGATTGTTGTATGATGTGAATCATCAACTCTTGATTGCTAGTTTACATGTTGGTGAATATTTGATTATTTGGTTGTTGAAGTTTTCAAATATCTTAATCATAATATAATTTTTTTTTATACTTCTATTTTTTTGAAATCTAGTTTACCCTTATCTATTTTTATGTGAATGGATTACAATGATCATACTTGATATAAAAGTAGTAAGAGTAGGTCTACAAAGGTGAGCAATGGAGGTCATCAGATGATGACGATACTTTTGAATGTTTTGTACTACCCTCATATAGTAGTTGTATATATAGTTGTGCTTATAACCGATACTTAGGGTGCATAGTTTACTCATACTAAAATACTCTCTCTCTCTATATATATATATTATTTGTATTCGTTTAGTTGTTTTACTCTTATATGTATGTTATATATTATATATCCAAATATTAGTGAATGCATATAATTTTATAAAGTGTAATGATTACGATGAGTTGTTACATAAAACAAATATTTTATAAAATAAAAACTAAGACAATTAAAAAAATACTCAAAATATGATGTACAAAATAAAAGATATTATCCCATAATACATGAGATTATTAACATAAAAAAATCTATTAATGTGATCATATATTGATCACACAAGAAAATCTGATATCACATTTTAATACGAGACTTTAATATTATCCCATATATTTATCTTTATCAAACCTCGGTAGGAAATTCCTCACCAACTCACATCCTTGAGAAATTATAAAGTATCGAGCATCATCCAAATTTATGATTATATAAATTTGATTGCAAAGCTTAGTTGAATAAGTACCACTAGCTAGGTTGTTGTTTCTCCATCATCGATCACAACAGCGTTCACGAACCAATCAATCATCCTCTGACAATTTCACGAATCCAGGCGTTAATTGTGTATGACTCGTCAATGCAATCTCTAGTACTATAGTCCAACATTCAATTAATGTTAGTGCCTCATTTCTTTATTGGCACGACTAATTGCATGCTTGCCTTTTTTAACTTTGGCATGCCAAATGGCCCTACCCTCCCTTATGTCATCCATACCCTTACTGTTTCTGCCTCAGCCTCAGGTTCAGGTAGAATAACTTGTATTCATACATTATCACTAATTATTAACTACAAGAATCGTATCGGAACCCTACGTACCTTATACTTTCACATGCACACTTGTCCCACAAACCCTTCAAACGGTGGTTGGCATTTAGTTTTTCACTTTAGACTTGGAATCTATCTATTATAGGATCCTCTCAAAGCATAAAGGAAGATTTCCGAATTCACTTTCATCTTCTTATTCTCCTTCATTTTCTCATCTTTAATAGGACGAGTGATTATTATATTACAAGCATATAAGCAAGAAGGTCAATGATTTTATCAAGTTACTGATCAACCCTTTAGTTTTCTCTAATGAACACAACATTTTGGCTTTTTTTATTTGACTCACTCCAAGCTTTATACATATACATATCATTGTTGCTAAGAGGAATTAATTAGTCTCACGAGGATAACAAATTTAAACCATACAATTATATATAAGCAGGTTAAAATAAATGTTGAGCATAGTTGAAATGAATTTATTGTTGTAAGATATGAGAAGAATTGATTCTGAGTTGAAGTGGTGATAGGAGTAGGAGTAGGATGAGCTGGTTGATTTGAAATGAGGGGAAAAGGGTTTGTAAGTAGGGGAGAGCTTGGAAGAGCAAAGGGAAAGGGTACCAGTTAAAGAGGTGGAGTCATGTGAGGGCATTTATAGTGGGGTTTTGGTGTCTTTGTTTTCTAGTGCACATGGGAGGAGGGAGAGACTCCGTTCTGTGGAAAGCAAGAACCATGTGACTCCATGTGCCACTCTAAATAACTACACCACTTTCTCCTCTCTCACTACTCCCCTTAATTTCCTCTTCAATTTTCCTTTCCCTAATTCAATTTCCATAATTTTTTTTCATTATTTTAGAATATAAAATTCAACTTAACTTAATTCTATAAAATTAATTTATAAAATAAGAATTATTTATATATATATATATATATATATATATATATATATC